AGGGTTTCCATATAACTTGGTAAGGTAAGTAATTTCCCTTCATCCTTAGCTTAAATACATGTATATTAGGTAGATTAAACACCAAAAATTTAGTAAAAATCAAGAATTTGAGCTAGACCTAGGGTTTTAATAAAACTAAGAATTTATCATAAAAATTTGCCATGTAATGAACTAGAAATCATATATTTGTGATCCTTAGGTGATAGAGAACAACTTCCTTAGAAAAATCTCGGAATCCGGGCACGTGGGCTCGGGGTCGGAATTTAGGAAACTTGTGTTAATGGTTAGAAAATTGCCTAAATAGTTAGAGTTCGACCTTGTAAGCCTTTATTTACTAGTTCTTACTTCGTTTGATTAGTTTTGGATTGTTCGGCTTCGAATTAAGGACTTGGGCTCGTTCTTGGACATTGGAAGTGCACTTTGGAGCGAGGTGAGTCTCCTTTCTAACCTTGTAAGAGGGAATTGTCCCCATAGGATTATAAATGAGTAATTGTTGTTAAATGCGGGGGCTACGTACGTACTAGGTGACGAGAGTCCGTGCGTAGCTACTATAATGATAATTGTTCGGGTAGTTTAGGACCCACGTCATGTCTAATTGGGGAATATTTCTTGTTTTAAATTGCCAATATGATCATTTATGATTTGCTAGAGACTTGAGGAAATGAAAAGTGAACTTATGAGTTTGTTGAGTCTTGGTAGGAATTCCCTTGTATGTAATTGAGCTTTATGTGCTTTCCTGATATTTTCTTGATGATTATGGACCGGGCCGATCGCCTCGGTGAGAATAGATGCATCTATGGTTCGTGTCGCTAGACCCTCGGCAGTGCACAATTTATTTTCTGTTGGAGCGGGCCGTCGACCTCGGCATGATTGTGCATGATTCATATGCTTACATTTAGATATGACATGATCACTTGTTTAATATGAAAAAGGGAAAACTGGTAGTTTAATTATGTCAGGAACATGAATATGACTCTTCTCTTAAACTTGTGTTATTGGAAATTCTTCATGCTGTATATCTCACCTTATTATTATATTATCTTGACCTTAGTAAGTATCAAGTCGACCTCTCGTCTGTACTTCTTCGTGATTAGACGGGATACTTACTGAGTACATGTGGTTTATGTACTCATACTACGCTTCTGTACTTAAATGTACAGGATTTGAGGCAGGTGGATCTGGACATCATCCTGGTGCGCATCAGTGAGCACGCTTGGGGACTTCTACGGTGAGCTGCTTCTCTTTCATGCCGATCCGCAGCCGAAGAAGTCCTTTCTTGTACTTTTTGTTTCTGTCTAATCTGATT